AAACGCTGGTCCACAGACCACGTTCCTGTTACACACGTGCACCGCCGGGAGAGCAGAGACGCCCGGCGCCCCGCCGAGGACGGTCCTCCTCCGTCTACAGGTGCATCCCTGCGCCCACCCGCCCGGTGGCGACGCAATAAATACGCGGCTTGCGGCCGCCCGGGTCCAGCAGGCCCGCCACTACCTGTTGTAGGCCCGCTCCCGTTTGGACTTCTCCAGGGCCTTGTCCATGGTCTTCTCGCTCTCGCCCCGGCACTTGGGGCAGTACCACTTGCCCTTGGGCTTGTGGCTCAGCCCCACGCAGGAGAAGTGGAACCACTCGATGGGGCACTCGTCGTTGTCGCAGCCAATCATCTCCCCGTAGGAGACCTGGTTGCACAGACAGTACGTGGGCTCGTTCGGGTCTATGGGCAGGTCCGCGGGGGACGCCTCCCTCTCCGCTTTGGCCTTGGAGCGCTTCTTCTTCTTGGAGGCCTTGGCCTTCTTCTCCTTGGGCGTCCCAGAAGTGACGTCATCGTGGTCGTGATTGTTTGCGGCGTTCTCCCGGTTCTCATTGTTGCGCTGTCGCCGGGACCTCTTGTTGTTGGGCTTCTCCGCCTGGGCGATCGCCTCGTTTTTGGACTTGTCCTGGCCAGCTTTGCTGTGGCCCGTGGCGTCAGCGGCCTCCTGGTGGGCCTCGAGCAGCTCCACGTGGCTGTCCACCTGCCGGGCCCGGTTCTCCACCAGCTCCACCATCTGACTCACGAGCTGGATCTTCTCGTCGCCCAGCTCCTGGCTGCGGATCAGCGCCCGCTGGATGCAGTGCAGCGCTCTCCGCTTCTGGGTGCCGTCTGCCTCCCGCTTGAACTTCTCGTAGTACTCATCCAGTTCCTTCAGGATCTCTGCCAAGGGGAAAACAACCGTTAGACCCCCGGGGTACACAGTCTCCAACCCACAAAACCGTGGCTGTCAGGGACAAAAATGATCAACGCAAGGCTTCCTAGTACAAAAAAATGTGTAACACGAAGGCCTTTCTAACAGGCTTTTTACTCCTCGTTACAAAAAGGAAAAAAAAAAGAAATCTCTGGAACTAAATACAAATGTTAACATGGTTCCCATTTATCAAAGTGCACTCCAAAGCATCCCAATGGACTGCACGCATTCAGAGCACAGGTAACAAAAACTCCCTAGACAAGGGGCCATGGGGAGAATTCAAGTTTAGGCGACGTATTGAGGTCCAAGTTTTTATTTTCTATAAAATTAAAGATTATGTCCTATATTTCCATTGTTTTTACCCAAGCATTTTGGGAACATTTGAAAGGCTGTTATTCTCTTTATTTTAGTGCACCGACATCTAGAAGCTACTATTAAATTAGAGAGATTATATAAATACTTCAGTGGCCCAGCCTCAGTTTACTATGCCACATCACTGCATCACAGCATGCATGGGAATATCTCTGTATCACCCTGTGACTGAAGACAAGAATGGTCTGTAAGGAGGAGTCAGAACAGAGCAGCTCTGCTTGGACAAAGGTAACAGATTTCACTTTTCCCTTTACTGCTCAGAACAATGAATGACATTTGTATCTATAGAAGGCAACAGATTTTAAAACAAACAAAACTCCCTCCTACTAAATGTTAATCTATTTGGACAGGTTAGAAAACAGTATACCTGATTTTAAAATGTAATTTGGCAAATGGAACTAGGCAATTTCTCAAGAAATAAAAGCTGTTAGATAAATCTGACTGAAATAAGGAAAGTAAATATTCTTGCCAAAGCTCTACCTAAATACACAGAAATTCCCAGAGTTATTTTCCCTAAACAGTAACCATTATACAGTATTTTACTCCTGAAAACCCTTCGCAGTCTCTTAAGATAAGGCAATTCAACTTTCCAGCTAGGAGGTTGGGGAGGATGTTGGTAGAGGGTGTATAAAATGTGACATGACCACTTCCAGATCTTATCTCCAATTAGTTATAAGGCACACACCTAACACCAGGGTAAACCTATGAACTTAGGCCAACACAACTTAAGCATGTATTCTTTTCCAGGCTATATTATTCAGACTGTCTTCTACTAGAAAGGAGGAATGGGGCTCTTGGAGTAAGTAATCCTGAAAACAAACAGCTCTGTTCAACTTATCCAAGTTCTATCTCATAGGTGTTAAAATATGAGTTTCTGCCATTTATTTTTAAGTGAATTACACATTACAAAACTGTATTACTTGGTTTAATCAGTAACCCAAATTTCTGAAGACAATGTTAGCATTTTACTGGAAAGACACCAATTCCATCATACCACTAATTTGAAAGTTAACAGGTACACCTTTCACATCACAACCAAGCTCACAGCCCCGTTAAGCCTTACTGTGGAAAAGAAACAAACATCCCGTCAGAAAATCACCAAGAAATAATTCTGTTACCTACACAACAGTATACATTCCTTCAAGTATACATTCCCCAAGCAAGGCACTCTTTATCAACAGAGTGAAGGAAGTACAAATATCTGTAAACAAGAACCCGGGTCTCACTAGAGAGGCATCCTGGTCTCTTAAGCTCCATCAGCTCCAACTGGTGCTAACCCTTTTTTCTAAAAAGGCTCCACACATGAGCACCCTGTGAAAGTAATGGTACCAGGAAAAGAATCTTAAGGATTAATGGAGGTTGCAGCAAAGTTTAATCTGATCTGTCCAATTATTAGAAATGTATTTTAATTTTACATAGGCATGGCACCAAAGTTCTATTAGGAAGCCCTCTTCCTTGGGGTTGCATCAGCATTTTATTATTTTAAATTGAAAATAACCCCAGAAATCACTCGCAAACGAATTACAATCCATCGTTATAAATTAATGTCCCATTGAAAATAAGCAAATACTGTTAATCACAGCTTGACTTGCAACCGAGGAGTTAAGAATGAAGCCTTAATTTCTAGACTAGACTGCACTGCAAATCTCGGCGTTTATAGTAAGTCCCAACCGAATAACTTAGGACCACTATATGCCGGGTGACGAGGCTGCTCGGGGCCCCGCCGGGGTGTCGGTGGGGCTGGTCTTCTCCCGCTGAGCCGGACACGCGAGAAGCGGCTGTCACCCCGGCTCTGAGGTGGTAAAACAGGGAGAGTCTTCACCCTCCGTCTCCGAGCGCAGAGCACGCCACCCGCGCCCGGGGCACCCACCCACCAGGCCCAGGTCACTCACGGCACCGCCGCTCCGCGCGTCCGCTTCCGCAGGACCCCAGGGCCCGGGCGGGAGGCCCGACTGCGCCCTCCCCAGTCCCAGCAGCACGGAGCGCCGGGCTCGCCCCGTCCCCCGGGTGCCGCCATTGCTCCGCGGAGGAAGTGACCTGCTCCCGTCCTTGGGGGTGGGGTGGGGGCGGGGCCGAGCCGGACCCCACCAATGGAGAGGCGGCCAGCGGGCGGCGCGCCCCGCCTCTGGAACCACTGCCTATAGGGATCGCCGGGCCGGGGGGGCGGGGGCCAGGCGGGGCACCAATCACGACGCAGGAAGGGAGGACATAGCCCGCCTCCGCAGCACCAATGGCCAATGCGAAGCCCAAGGCCGGGCGACCCGAAGACATTCGAATCGACTCGACCACCTCCCTCCTGCCCGCCCCACTTACGCAAGGGAAAAAAGAAGGCAGCGGAAACACAGCAGTGCCACTCACAGTGCAAGGCCCGCCCCCATCCGGCCGAGGAACCAATGGGTCAGCGACGGACTGATAAGGACATTCCATGGGAGATACTGAGGCCAATCACAGGAGGCCGAGGCGGAACGATCGCAATATGCTAATCGGGTGTCTATATAAGCCGCCGCGAAGCCGAGCCTTGGGCAGAGCGCGCAGGGGCGCCTTGCCATACGGGTGGTCGAGTTGTTGCGGTGCTCTTCCTGGTTATCCACCTTCCCCCCGCTCTTCCGTTTCCCTGCTGCGCAGCCCTGTAAACATTAGTAAACTCCGAGGGACTGTCCACCGCCCAGACACAGCCCCCAGCGCCGTGACTGACCAGGCAGCAAAGTTTCCCCAACGGCCGACAATTCCCCGCGGACCCGACCCCTGCGTCTCTCGGGCAGTCTAAGCGGCGGGGTCTGCAGAGGACGACGCACAGATCCCCTCCCCTGCCAGGTCCCTCTCCAAGCCGAAGGTACCTGCCTGCGCCCCTCGAGCGTAGCACGGGTGGACGACTTCCTCACTCCGTCCTCCCTCCCCTCCCTTCCCACGGCACACACGAAATAAAGCCCTGGCCCTCCGCAAGCTACACCCGGCCGCGGCGCCCCTCACTCGGTGTCCGGCGCCGCGCGAGGGCTGGGGGCTGGGTGGGGGCGACTGGGGCCGCACCACGCGGAGTATGGACCCCGGACTTTACGTAACACTCAGATTCGGGACTGGATGGAGGTGGTTCCAGGGACCCCTCGCCCTCTGCGCCCTCCCGGCAGCCCTGCGCGCAGCCCGGTCCCCGCGCCCCTCAGCCTGACGGCCGCGGCACAGCCCTCCCCAGGCGCCGTAGCCTGCGCCCCCTGCGCCCCCTCCCCCGCAGCACCCCGCCTCGTCACTTCACTACAAAGAGCGCTTTGCTCGCGCAGCCTGGCATCGAGACCTCTCTCGTTCCTCCTTCCTCCTCCGTGCCCGGGCTTCGCGCACAAGGACCTTGGCAAATCAAAGACGCCCCAGACCTTTTGTTTCTGCCCGGCAAAGGCCCCGCCGCGAGCTCGCGGCTCTCCAGGAGGGGAAGCAGGACGGCCCGCGGCCCCGCGGCGCGCCGCCACCGGCGGGGATGGAGCAGCCGCCCCCGCCCATCCATCCCGCCGTACCTTGGTATTTCGCGTCGATCTCCCGCATCAGAGAGACGTTTCTCTGCAGATCAAAAGGCAGAGACTCGATGGAGTCCAGGTAGTCCTCCACGTAGTTCACCAGGTGGATCTGCTCCCCGTTGGCAGGGCTCAACATGGTTCACAGCGGTCCCCGGCGACTCCGCGCGGCTTTCCGCTTCCTCCGGCCCCCGCCCCCTCGGAGCCCGGAGCTGCAAAATGCAAGGCTCCCGCCCGCCGGCGCGCCCCCCCCCCCAACTCCAGCCGGCCCCGCGCCGCTACATCTGCGAGCCGCGCCGCCTGGGCCCGGGGACCGGCGCCTGGCGGGCCGGGCCGGTGCTCGGCGGCCTCGGGCGCGGGGCGGGCACAGGCGGGCGTGCGGGCGCGCACCCCGGCGCCGGGGCCGGGGCCGGGGCCGAGCGAGCGCGGGAAGGGGCGCGCGCCGCCCGCCGCGCCGCACTTGTCCAACGTGGAAAACCCAAATACCAGTTTCAAACACTTGGGAAACATTCGGCCCCCCGGCACCGCGCATGCGCCCCGGCGCCACCGCCCCCTCCCCCGGGGGCCCCGCCCCCGCCGTACGCACGCCCCTCGCCAGCCCCGCCGCCCGGGGGTGGGGCTCTGCCTGTCACTCCGGCCCGGGCGGGGGTCTCGCGGGCAGAGGGCGGCGGGCGGGGCGCAAACTTTACTAGGAGTTTCGCACTTGCACGCAGAGCGGCGCCGGGCGGCACCGCACTCCCACTGAGGCGGGGCCGCAGGGCGGCAGACGGCCCCGCCCAAAACGGCCGGAGCCGTGCCCGCAGCAGAATCCCGGCCGCCAGCCCCATGGACTACCTCCCTCCCGCCGTCAGGCCCTCGCACTCCCCCAACCCGCTCTGCAGCGGGGAAATATATAAGTACGGCTCGGAACAGACTGGCAACCTCGGGAGCCAATTGACTTGCCGCACTCAGTTGGATGGCCCAATCAGGACGAGAAGGGGGCGGAGTGAGCTCGGGTGCCGCCCCCTCCGCCGGGGTCTCACTACTGGCAACCCGCGTCCTCCCGGGGCGGGCGGAGCCCAGCCGGACGGAAGTGGGCGCGCGTGCGCACTACGGCGGCCACGGCGGCCGCCGGCCCGCGCGGGAGAGACCTACCATCGGCGGTCGGACCACCACTCCCAGCGGCCCCGGCGGCTCGCGCGCTTGCGCGGTCCTCACCGCCCGCCCTTATTGTGTCGCCGGCTGGAGGCTGGAGCCGAGCGGCTTGGAGACAAAGGGGCTCGAGAGGGGAACTCACGCCGGGCCCCCGGAGAGGCCAGGCGGCCCTTCTTCTCTCTCGTGGCCTGGATGCCGCTCTTGAAGTCCGCGCCCCCAGTTCGAAATACCACCCACGGCGGGGCGGGGCCGGCTTCCAGTCAGGGGACCCCGGGGGGGATTTCTCTCTCAGTCTTGGGCCCTCCCCTCCCCCCACGTCTCTGTCCTTCTGGCGCTAAACTTACGTTGGGTTTTCATCTAGGCCCGTTGCCTAGACGACGAGCCCGCGCGCGGGTGCCCGCCCCTTCCGGTTCAGGCCCCGCCCGGTGGGCGTGACCACGGCGAGGCTTTGTCCCGCGAGCCTGGGGTTTGCGCCTGAGCCGCTGCTGCAGGCAGGCGAGCTCGGTGGAGTCTTCGCGCCGTGTGTCTCCTTTCCTTGGGCGCAGACGTCCAGTCGCCGTCTCTAACCCTGCCCGGTAGCTCGGCCCCAGCCTACGGGCGTCCTCTACCAGCTCTGCGCCCCCTCTTCGGCGGGGGGATCGGGGTTCGGCCTCCCTCCCTCCCGGGTGCCCCGCTGCCCCGCGCGGTCCCGCCCCTCAACCCGGCAGCGAGGCTCTGGTGGAGCCCGGAGTGTCCGCAGAAGCAGCGTTTTGACAGCCGACACTGCTCGGAAATTTTCAGTCCCTCTCTGTAACCAGTAGAATTGCAGCCCAGCCCGGTGTTTTTAAAATGGGCGATTGTCCGCAGCGCGGCTCGCCCTGGCCAGGTGATGGGCTCGTAAACAGCGCAAGACTGCGTTGAGCTGTTTTCGTCTTTCGAAACGAGTTTTCACGTTGGATCGTTGCTGCGCTGACCAACGCAGAATAGTACTTAACGCTTTGAAATGAGTTTCCTCTTTCCGCTCAGCCCCCTTAACCACCCCGCCCCCAATCAGGAGAATGTTCACTTCGAAAATTTGGGGAAACGGTTGTTACTTAAGAGATTCACAAAAAAAAAAGATTCACATTTTTCCAGTTTGGGCCCAGTTTAAAGAGGACGCTGAGTTATCAACTTCATTTATGGGCCACTAGCCTGTACAAGACTTTAGTACTACGACGCTATGTGGAAACGAATATATTATGTGGACTAGAGAGTGAACGCTGGATAAGAAAAAAGATACAAGTAACTTTAAAGTACATTGGCAAGAAAGAGGTAGGTACTTTTAATCCAGGCATTTATTGCCTTAAACTGAGTAGTGTTCATCTGGATTTAAGGATAAAGGTGAGAAAGAATTTACTCCTTTCAGTGATAATCAAGCTGGACTGTTTTATTTTGGTTTTGTTTTTTAAATCACGATGTCATCTCAGCGATTCCTCATGTTTTCATGGACTTCACAGACACGTGAGACAAAAAAAAAATTGTTCGACAAAAAATATTTAATGAACACCTACCATGTGCTTCCCTCTCTTGTGGCTCAGCTGGTAAAGAATCTGCCTGCAATGGGGGAGACCTCGGTTCTATCCCTGGGTTGGAAAGCTCCCCTGGAGAAGGGAAAGGCTACCCACTCCAGTATTCTGGCCTGGATAATTCCATGGACTGTATGTATATCCATGGGGTCGTAAACAGTGGGACATGACTGAGCGACTTTCACACTTCACCATGTGCTAGCTACTGTTCTGTGCACTAGGGAAGCAGTGGTGAATAATGTTTGTAAGTCATTTAGTTTACCCCTTGGGCTAAAAAGCCAGAAAATATTTGATTAGTTTTACCAAGTTCTTAAAATGTATGCCAATGACTTCAACATTGAATGGACAAGGTTAGAAGACCAATAGCTAGAGCATAACTGTAATCACCCATTTAAAAATGCCACTAAAGAAAAGAGCTTAATTTTGCGAATACATTGAAGATTTTGGGTAGATTCAGTTATTGTTCTTTGGAGTGTGTTTCAAAAATTGATATTAAATGTTTTTTCTAAGGTTATAGTTCCAGTTTCACTGAAGATGCTCAAACTTACGGAAGAAAAAGAGATGAACTATAATTCTGTTTTGACCTGCTTAAAATATAAATCCTAACACGTTCATCTCAAACCTGAAGTGCCCTAAGCAATCTGTGCTACCTCACCTACTGTGCTTTGGATTCACAGATTTCGCTTTGGAGCAAAACGTGACGCTGGGAACTAGTTCTGTTGTCACCTCTAAGGGGCGCGAAGCGGCGTTCGCGACGCTTGGGAACCATTAATCCCGAGGGACTTGCTTGTTCTGGCCTAGACTGGCAGGAGTCGAACTGCCTGCTCTCTCTCTCTCTGGGTATGTATGCTACTACATCTTCCTGGTCGTTTTAATATTGAACTTGCAAGAGGAATCATGCTTTTAAACATCAGTGAAGACTGCGTCTGTTTTTCACTGTTTGAAGATTCCCAAAAGACTTAAGGTAGCACTGCTGCTGGCCAAGGGCTGAGCACTTTACAGGACCAGTTTTCAGAGGACAGAGTATACCTTTGTTAGTTTAAAAAATCATGATGTCCCATGGCCAATTAAAACATGCCAGCTGCCAGATTCACATGCAGGGTTCCATCTTCAGTCTTACTCAATTTGTTTTAAAGACGTCTCGCTTTTACCTCAAATTCTTCATGTTCTTACAGATTGCAGTCAAGCCTTTTGTTCATCTTCTTAGTTTTCTGGCATATCTAATATGTCAGAGCTTTCTCTATCAGATGTTTTACTGCTCAGATTTTCTCCCACCTGCAACAGGTGAATCTCCACAGAGATTACCCTTTTCTGAATTTGGTGGTGGACACAGTGAAAGAGGTGGCTTAGTGGTCAAGAATCTGCCTGCCAAGCAGGAGACGTGGGTTCAATCCCTGGGTTGGGAAGATCCCCTGGAGATGCAAATGGCAAAACACTCCAGTAGTCTTGCCTAGGGAACCCCACGGACAGAGGAGCCTCCTGGGCTACAGTCTGTGGGGTCTCAAAAGAGTAGGACAGGACTGAGCAACTAAACAACAGAGTAGAAAATAATTTACAATATGAAGTACTCAAGGAGCACACTGCTATAATCAAAATGGATAACCAACAAGGACCTATTGTACAGCACATGGAATTCTCAGTGTTGTGACAGCCTGGATGGGGGGGTGGGGGCGGTTGGGAGAGGATGGATACATGTGCATGTATGGCTGAGTCCCTTCGCTGTTCCCCTCAAACTACCATTACATTGTTAATCGGCTATACCCCTATGCAAAATAAAAAGTTTAAAGTTTGAAAAAAGAAAAAAACCCAAAAATAATCAGGGAGAGAAACACATCTTGCCCTAGAAAGGAGAATTACAAAAGAGCAACAAGGCGAGCGTGCAGGCAATGCGGAGGGGGTTAGTGATGAGGTAGGGCTCTGAGTGGTGGGGGAGAGGGTCTTGGCTCTGATGGGAGGTCTCCAAATTGTGAATGACCGGCTCTAACACTTCAGCCGTCACGCCTTCAGACACAGTTCCCGAGGAATTGCAGAACTGGACTCCAGAGGTCTTGGGGAAAGTTTAAGTGCTGTTGGGAGGTACTTGTTTGTCTCTACTGGAGCACTCGCCTTGCTATAGAACGACCAAAACAACCCCCAAAAAGAACTGAGGAACTTAACGTGCTGTTTTGAGGACTGCAAAAGCAAGGGGGGGTTTCTTTGTTTTTTTGAGACGCTGTTTTGGAAGATATCAATAAGGACGCGTTTGTCGAGATAATTTGAAAGTTAACTTCAAGAGAAGCCACCTTTAAACAGTCTGGTTGAAACCGCAATTCAGAATGCTTCTGTTCTCAAGAGACCAGATGACAGAACTTACAACCTTGAAGTGAATCCCAGGCAGTCATTTCGTACTACGCGTACTTGATGAATGGGTGGTGTCTTAGCTTTGCTCTTTCATCCGGAGACAGGGTGTGCCGTGTTGGGGTGCAGACGTGCCTCCGGAGCAGGCGCGGAGCCGTCAGCGGCTGCCCTCCCCGGGCACTGGCTCCTGAGGGCCCAGCCCGGGGTTGCACCGGGTCAGCTCAGTCCGGCGCCGCCCGGGACGAGAAGAGCGGAACTCTGCCCGCCGCCCCGGGGCGGGGCCGCCACCAACGCCTGCCGCTTCCCTCCCCCACTCCGAGGCGCGGCCCCGCCCTCCACGCCCCGGCGGACTCGGGACCGCCTCTTCCTGGTGGGCGGGGCCGCGCAGAGCCTTCCGGTGGGCGGGGCCTAGCACCCCCTCTCCCGGGTGGGCGTGGCCGGCGCGCCGGCCATGTTGGGGACACGCCGGGCCCGCGTGGGCGCTTGGCTGCTCCGGGCCGCTCGGGGCCCGAAGCCGGGCCGCTGGGCTTCGGGGGCGCGCGGGCAGGGCTGGCTGCAGCCCGCGGGATACGACACGGGCGTCAAGGTGTACAACAGCCTCACCCGGAGGAAGGACCCGTTGATTGTGAGCCGCGCGGACGCCGCCTCCTGGTAGCCCGCCGGGACTCGGAGCGGGATGCGGCGGGGCGGGAGGGGCTACACCCAGCCTTTCCGGAGGCGGGTGCCCTGCGTGGGGTGGGCGGGGGGCGGGCTTACGTCCTCAGGTGCAGGCGTTTAATGAGTGATGAAGTACTCCGGCAGCACCTGTAAAGACCCTGGGGTAGTCGCAGCGTTTCACCGATTTGGCGCTGAATTTAGTGATCCGAGGGTCATACATCCCCGGGTACGCATCCCCCAAAGCGTTACTTTTCTTTTTTCTACAAAAAGACATGATTATATGCTGATTATGACTGAGAACGTGGCGTCCTTTCTTGCAAGTTTGTTTCACATGGTGGGTCTTACCTCTGTCCCCAGGTATAGCTGTGGACCAACTGTCTACGATCACGCACACCTGGGTCATGCTTGGTGAGTGTCCTGACGCTGAATTTTCACTTTAAGGGACCGTTTATTTTGGAAAGAAAGCCTTTTGCAGGTTTTTTTTTTCCTATCCCTCAAGTGACAACTTAAGAATCCTCGGTAGTTAGTGTATTCTAGGCATTGTGGGAAGCATACATATTACATCCTCATTTGGTCCCCGTAGCAGTGCTAAGCACTTCGTCGCATTTCGGGTGAGGAGACTCAGGGATGCAGTGAGAGCAGGGGAAAGGACTGTTTTGCAATTTGATGTTTCTTGTTGTGTTTAGTGAGATGAGGCCATTCAGAGGGCCCTTGAGTCAGCTGGTCAGGTGTTTCTGCGTCCTCCCCCTGCCATTTACTTCCCAACTTTGGACAAGTCACTTTATTACTGAGTCCTGGTTTCTTCATCTTTCGGATACAGATAATAATATTCTTCTTTTGAATCTTGACAATTTAATGAAATAAACCCCATAAAGTGCTGCTTAGCCCAGTCCCTGTCGTGGGAAGGCTGGCGAAGGCTCACCTGTTCTCCAGGATAGGTAACTAGTGGGAGGGCACACCTTAGGAAGCGTGGCAGGTGAGCTGGAGCCTGAGACGTCTGACCTCCACACGCTCTCTCTCTCTGTCTTGTAACTCTGTCTCCTAGGTTTGTCCAAATTGCTGCTTTTCCTAATATTTTGTCTGTTCTCTTGTGCATCTCTTAAATTTATCTTTCATATCTAGATTAAAAGTTACCTTGATTCAGTATGTATTTTAGAAATTATGCATCACCCAGCAAGATCTGAACTTTTTAGCTTGTATTATAACAAAATAAATAGATTAGTAGTCATTTTTTTTCCCTCTTCACTTTGGGCTAACTATTAATTTGTTGTTGCTCAGTCGTGTCCAACTTTTTGTGACCCCATGGACTGCAGCACACCAGACTTCTCTGTCCTTCACCGTCCGTCTCCCAGAGCTTGCTCAAATTCATGTATGAGTCGGTGATGCCATCCACCCATCTCATCCTCTGTCGCCCAGTTCTCCTCCCTGTTCCATTTTTCTCAGCATCAGGGTCTTTTCCAGTGAGTCAGCTCTTTGCATCAGGTGGCCAAAGTACTATTAGTTATAAAAAGCATATTTTGGTCTCTTTTTTGAAGTATTAAATATGTTGGGGAAATACTGGAAACAGTAGAGGTTACTGTTTGTCCTACCCTCGAAAAGCTCTCCACAAAAGGCAAAAGAGAAAGAAAACATTTTTGTTATTGAAGGAGAATGAAACGAGTATGGGGTACGCCGGCCCCTGCCGAAAGGACCACAGAAATAGCAGGAACTGGCGAGGTTTCGTGTGAGGTGGGTGGGCCCAGCTCTCTCGTTCAGGCAGGTCTACAGCCTGGAGTTGCAGGGGTTAGGCCCCTCCTGTTCTGACCTTCTTGGTAACTTTGTTTGGAAGAGAAGGCTTCTGGGTCCTTGAAACCTTCATGAGTTGTGAGACTGAATAAGGCTTACTTAGCCATTGAAAACATTTAGATACATTTTGAAAGGACTGAGGAAGAAATTCTGAAAGGAAGGGGGAGTGAGGCAGTCTGGCCCTTATTTTTCACTGAGCTTCGGGCCTTTCAGTTGCAATCTGTGCTTGTCCCTACCGATGCGGAAAAGCGTGCCAACGCGCAGTGTGCAGCCCAGCCGATGCCCGGGCCCCAGACTGAGACACAGAACTTTCCCAACATCCCGGCAGCCTCCTGTCTGACTCCCTGGCCAGGGTGACCGCTCTGGGCGCGCCACTCAGGAAGAGTCATCAAGCGGGGATGTCCCTTGTGAGGCAGAAGCTTAAGACGTTGGAAGAGGTTGTGGTCTCAGGGGCTGGGATGGTCAGGCACAGTCCAGCGCTCTTGAGTTCAAAAGCCCAAAGCCCAAGACCGCCTCGTCTGTGGGTCTGTCCCTGCTCACTCTCCAGGTTTCTGCCTCCACGCCTTCCTCCCCACCTGCTTCTGCTTTAAAGAGACAGATGCGTAACTGGACAGCACTCTGTGCCCGGCACTGTTCTAAATGCCCCGCAAACCCCAGGCGATGCAGCTCTCACCACGCCAGCTGGTGATGCTGTTACCTCCCAAGTGTAACCAGGGAGGGATCCCGGGTGGAAAGTGCTAAGCCAGGCCGGCTGCAGAGTCCAGGTTCCCATGTGTGGAGCAGCCTCAGCCTGGTGAGCGAACCTACCCCTGGGCTCCCGAGGTGCCCGCAGGGCGGGTGAGGCCAGGGAGCAGCCACCCTCGGGTATCGGGCTCCACAGCTCGTTGCAGCCATGCTTGTGATTCAACTTTTTCTTTCACTCTGTTTTAAATTCTTGTTAACTTTGTCTCTTAAAATCTCATTTCTTGTAGTGTTTTCCTGAGTTGACAATGAGGGGCACTGCGATGATATTTATTATCAGAATTAGTTGAAATTTCTGCTGCATAGGCACTGAGATAATGTACAGCAACCCTGTGAGAGAGGAGACTTGTGTCCAATTTGTGAATCGGCAGTCTGAGGCTTCGAAGGGATGTTTAACCTCTTAGCTCCTTGGGAAGGAGTTTTGGAGATGGCTTGGCCCTAGGATTTGGCGTCAACTGTGTCTGCGGTGGGTGGGTTTGGGGAGTACAAGGGATACAGTGAAGAAGAGCTTTGTTTTCAAGGGAAAATGACTTTATGAACCCAGGTTTAGAGAGGCCATGTGTATAACAGAGATGAGCATGAGATTGGCTGACCTGGAGAGTTAAGATTGCTTTTATGGGGAATCTAGTTTCTTGAGATTTTAAGTAGATCTTGGTTGGAAGGACTGATGTGGAAACTCCAATACTTTGGCCACCTGATGCGAAGAATTGACTCACCGACCCTGACGCTGGGAAAGATTGAAGGCAGGAGGAGAAGGGTCGACAGAGGATGAGATGGTTGGATGGCATCACCGACTTGATGGACATGAATTTGAGTAAGCTTCGGGAGTTGGTGGTGGATAGAGAGGCCTGGTGTGCTGCAGTCCATGGGGTCACAAAGAGTCAGACATGACTGAGCGACTGAACTGAGCTGGATTTTAAACCCTTTCTTTCTCAAGTCTGAGTCACCCCCATGCAGTCTGCCCGTAGGCTGGAGTTCCCATTTTCCACAACCGTGTGCACACTTCCTGGGAGTGACCTCTCCAGTTTTGATGGGATCATCCCTGTCTTGACTTATTATTTGCTTCTGTCTCTCATCGCGGTAAAACGTTAGTTATCCTAGAACATGAACATGGACAGTAAAAACACCCAGCATCTTGACCAGCCCCTGACTTTGCATCATGAGTGAATCTTTCTACAGTGGAACAGATGTAAACTCACTCAAACAACAGCTCTAAAGTTAAAGGTGCTCGTGTTGGGTCCCGAAGTTGAGGCCGCACCTTAGCTTTTCTCTTGTGGACACGAGAGGACTGGTGAAAGGCTTTTTCTTTTCCAGCTGCCCTTGAACGTCCTTGATGACACAGTCATGCAGCCTCACGGTAAAGGTAGCACCCTCTTTTGAAAGTCACAGTGGTGACTTTCAGGATTAAAGACGCCGTAATGTTTCTCCTTTCAGCTCCTATGTCAGATTTGATATAATTCGGAGAATCCTCACCAGGGTGTTTGGGTGCAACGTCGTCATGGTGATGGGAATCACGGACGTGGATGATAAGATAATCAGACGTGCCAACGAGGTGAGCGTGGGTCATGCGGTTACGTGGCGAGACCCCCACCTGACAGTTGTTTGGGCCTCCCGAGACTTTTCACGCCTGCTAGCCACACGTGACCCCCTGAGGCTGTTCAGCGAGGTCTCCTCACCCTGGTGAGAGAAATTCGGTCGACACCTCCTGGGCTGAATCCAGGCCCTCCCTGCCCCATCAGCCTACAGGACAAACCTCCCTCCCTGTTACGGGGGAAGTCAGAGGCTGGCTTGGGAATTTAGCTCCTGTGAGGTTTGGTTTTCTCACTTGTTATATCACCACACTCCTCTTATATCTCATGTGGCATTTAGAGGACTGGGGGGAATTTCTGGCATAGGGATTAAATAAAGTATTTTGTTACATTTTAATTTTTTTTACTTAAGAATCTTTTATTTCATTTATTTTTTTTGGCCGCACCACAAGGCTTGTGGGATTTTCCGACCAGGGATTGAGCCTGTGCCCTTAGCTGTGAGAGCATGGGATCTTGTCCACTGGTGACCGAGGAATTCCCTATAGTTACACTTCTAAAAGTCTGCTTTCAAAGGGTCGCCTCCTCTGCGTTTTATAATTAGCAACCCTGTATAACAATTTATGTATGACTATATGTAACAATTGGGGCTTCCCAGATGGCACTAGTGGTAAAGAACTTGCTTGCCGATGCAGGAGACATA